AACCACACTCCCCCCCCTGCATTTTATCACTTGTTGCTTGTGTGCACGCTGAGAGCCCATGCACCGAAGATAAAAATCCTTGTGTGTCCAATCACACTTGGCCAATAAAGAATAAAGAAAGAATCTAGCTTGTTCTTGATCAGAGGTGGTATTCAGCCAGTTCGGACCGGTTCTGGAGAACCAGTAGCAGAAATTTTGACCAGTTTGGAGAACTGGCTAATACCACCACTGACTGGGCTTGCTCACCTGCCCGCGTTAGTTTTTTAGCTCAGCTGAGTGCTGTGCCTCAGCTGAGCTAAAAAAAACAGTTCAGGTGTTCTGACCAAGGCTTCCTAGACCGTAATTATGCACACACTTATCTTAAAAACAAGTCTTGTTTTATTGCAATGCTGGGAATTATTTTCATTCCCAACCGGAAAAGAATCTCAAAGAGCCCCTGGAGATAAGCATCCACCTTTATTTCCTGTGAAGTGCTGCCAATTGTCCAATGAACTAGGAAAAACAACAACAACCAAAGTACAAATAGCTTCAAGAATGAATCTGAACCGAACGAATGATTTTGCTTCCTCCTGTCATCTTTGCCTGTCCTTTTATACCTTAAGGGAGGGTTAATCACTTCCCAGCCTTACTCCTGAGCTGCGTCTTTTGTTTCAACTAGTCTTGCCTTCCAGCAGCTCTGTGCATACGCACACTACGAACAGGCTCCCCTGGGTCCTCTGCCTCACTGCTGCCAGACTCTTGAGTCAGCACACAACTCCTAGATGGTCCTGGCCCCATCTCTGCGTTGGACGCAGGACCCTCGTCCAAGTCCTCTCCAGATTTCCAGACTGATCCCCTTTCTTCCCCACTGTCCGATTTCGCTGCCGTCTGCATAGACTGCCGGTGAACCACAACATCAGTCAGCTCACTAACATTGACTTGAGGTTGGTATTGGAGCCCTGTAAGCGCATGCGAAGCGCATATTAGGCGTGCGTGCATATGCTACCAGTAGGGAAAAAAAATTGGAAACCCATCACTGTTCTTGATGTTAGTTTGGCTTAGGGTTTAGAGTAGGGCTGTCCAACCTTGGCCACGCTAAGACTCGTCGACTTCAGCTCCAAGAATTTGTTGAATTTGCCCTTTAAAGTTGGACCCTTGGTTTAGGAGGAAATTAAGAAGGTTGCTTAGTTTCCAAAGAATGTCTTCTCCCCACATCCTTCCTTTCCTGGAGCATCTTCTCCCCGCATTGCCGAAACAGCCACGCTGCAATCTTGGCTCGCATGCTTTGCTGAAAAGCAGCCCAGATGTGAGACTCGTCAAAAAGTATTTCCTCCCTTGACACGTTATACTCAAAACCCCGCTTTCCTTTCTCGGTTACTGGTTACAGGCGCTTCTGGCTGCCATGTTTTCCTTTACCTGTCCCTTTATAAAACAACAAAGAGGGAAATGTGGAAAAGAAAAGTTGGAAAAGAAAAAGAAAAGTTGGAAAAGAAAAAGAGGCAGGAGGCTTTCAATTCTTGGGGGAGTTTTTGTGGGGATGGCAGGCCGGCCAAGCAAGAACAGAACAGCAGCCAGAAAGAGTGGCCAATTTTTTTAAAAAACCAAATGGAATTGTTTCGGATTTCGAATACCTGCAATTTCACACCTTCCTTAGGTAAGTAGATAAGCTGCAAATGGATTTGCATAGAAAGCTACAAAGGAATTCTGCAGAAGGCTGGTAGAAGATCGAGTTTTAAGAGAACCCCCACCCCACAGAACTGGGGGCTATGGAAAAAGACCCCCTCCTGAAGTTACGGAAGCTCCATGCACAGAGACGAAATGCCAGGTGCGTTTAGAGTTGAGGGGGAAAAGGCAGTGAAGTTAGGATTCATTTCCACCTGGGAGTTACCAGTGGATTTGCACGAGAATCCCTGAAAATTCCACACGCCTCGGCCCGTTTTAGGAGGGGTTGTGAGTTCAAAGAGTTGCACCCTCCTCGTGTTTTTTTTGGGGAAAAAAAAGCTTTACCTGGCTTGAAATGCTCTGTGCCTAGGCTGAAACCTGGAGCCAATGTTGACAGCCGTTTCTTGCATCTGGTGAGGTTGCGTTAGAATTCCACATTTTTTCCTCAGTGGATTCCAGAGTGCTGACAACCCCTGGGTTATTTATGACCTGAACAGGCAGCAAAGTGTAAGAGGAGTAGTAAGGAGAATGTTGTATTTAAGCATCTGTGTGCTATTAAAAAGAGACATTCGCTCCCTAGTTTTCTTAATCGATGGCTGAATGCCAGGCAGAAGAACTACTTGCCAGGACGGCCCCTGGGGACTCAGTGAGAAAGGGACACCCCTTGTGATGACCGGGGCGTGGCCCAAAAGCAACAAAGTCACAAAAATAGGTCAAGTCTCTTTAATTCCTCCAACTTGGCCCCCAATGTCCAATTATCATCGGCTGGAGAAAAAACTCCCAAGAACAGTCTTTAAAGGGAAGAAATTCAGTCCGAACCCGAAGTACATATAAATTAGAAATAAAAATCAACACAAACCATGCTACAGCAATTAATGAGACAAGGCAGGGATAAGGAATTGCAGACTTCAAAAGATAACAAAACACAGTTGGGAGGACGCCAGAACCCAGATATACCTTGATAAACAAATATAATTCACGCTTTGCTTCCAGCAAGGTGCTGTGCACAAACAGCCTTTTTAAAATCCTGTTTTCCCAGCTGCAGCTAATGAAGGGAATCAGGGCCTTTTTCTCCCCCATAACTCAGGTTGCTCCCTTATCCCTTCCTCCCTGTGTGCCCTAGGATGAAGAGAGGGTGGGCCTGGGTCTTCCTCTGAATGTCCAGCCAGACTCTGCCCTTCCCCAGTTTCCTCCACAGCCACCGGAGCCACACTCCCACTCCCTGTCAGCTGCTCAACTTCCCCCTTGGAATCAGATTCCAACAGGAGCACAACAGACCTTGCCTGTCGGAAAGTGTTGCGTGCAACCCCCAAAAAAGATGCTCAGGACTCCCTTCATAATATCACTCACCCCATCTCCTAACCCAGCAAAGCTACCAAAGGATAGGGCCCTTTGCCACATGCTGGCTTGGGCGAACGCCATCATCTCCAGCCCAGCGTGACCTGGGAAGCTTGCCTGGGCAAGGGGAGACATTGGCACAAAAAGGACAGCGGCTCAGAAGAAGGAATTGGAGTTTCAAAGCTGCCAAAAGAGTTTTGGTGCACCTGCCCATTCAGCAAAAGAAAGAAAACAGCTAACAATCCCCCCCCCCCCCCCCCTGCCGACATTCCCATTCTCACTTTGGAGACACCCCCATCCCCACCCGTTCCCAGCAGCTTTAATCCACACAGGTTGGAAGGGACCTTGGAGGTCTTCTAGTCCAGCCCCCAGCTCCCTGCTGCTTTTGAAGGGTCCTTTTCTCTCTGCGTTGCACACGTGGAAAGCTATTCCTGGGTCTGCTGTATTCTACCACCACACACACACACACACAAAAACAAACTAGGCCAAGATTTAACAGCCACTTGAGACCTGCAGTCTTCCAATATTTGAGGGGTTGCCCCAAAGAAGAGTTGGGGGGGGGGGTGTCAACTTATTCTCCAAAGCACCAGAAGGCAAGACAAAAAAACAACGGATGGACACTAACCAAGGAGAGAAGCAACCTGGAATTAAGGAGAAACTTCCTGACCAGGGAGGACAATTAACCGGTGGAACAGCTTGCCACAAGAAGTTGTGAGGGCTTCATTGTTGGAATTTTTTAAAGAAGTGACCGGACAGTCACTTTGTCTGAAATGGTGTATAGTGCAGTGGTGGTATGCTACCTGTTTGGCCGAACCAGTAGTAAAAAGCCTCCGAGGATCAGCTGAGAGCAGAAAAGCGCAGGATTGGCCGTTCCACAAGCCCCTGCGCTTTCCTCTTTATCCTCCCAGCGGATTGGTGCTTCAGGCCTCAACTGGTGAGGGGAAAGCTGCGCGCAGGCGTTAGGTGCACACGATAGCACTTGCAATCCCTGAACCAGTAGTGGAAGAGGTGGGATCCCATTGCTGGTATAGTATCTCCTTGTGATGTCTCAAAAATAACACGAAAACTAAAACACGAATCAAGGTCTTGTAATGCCTTCAACTTAACTTCGCTGTTTTATGAGTCCCAGTTTAAATTCAAAAAGTAGATCATGAAGCAAAAGGAAAACAAATCGCATTGACGAGAGTCCCAAGGCAAGCCAAGATAATTAATTGCACATTCCAGGAAGATAACCGGGGAGAGTCCATGGGAAGAACGCCAACAAAGATAAACCTCATCCAAGGAAAGCACTACTTTGACTCCGGTGTCTATGAACACGCAGCTCCAAACTCTTAATACAGCGATCACAGCTGCAGCCCATGAAGGGGATCAAGGCCCTTTCCTCCCCCATAGACCATGCCATTGACGTTTCTCCCTTATCCTCTCCTCCCTGCGTGCCCTAGGATGGAGAGGGGATGGGCCTGGATTCTCCTCTGACTGCTCAGCTGTCCTCTGCCCTTCCCCAGCCTCCTCCACAACCTCTGGAGCCACACTTCCACTCCCTGTTGGCTGTTCCTCCTCTTCCTCAGAGTCTCCACCAGGGGCATGACACTCCTGCTTGGAGCAGGGGGTTGGACTAGAAGACCTCCAAGGTCCCTTCCAGCTCTATTCTGATTGAACGAGTGTGTCTCTCCCAGTCTGTCCCCTCTGACACAGCTGCGGTGGGTGTGCTGGGAGTGTGTGTGTTTCATGGGGAAGCCAAGCACATGGGTACCTTCTTCTCTGCATGTAGATCTGACCCCGCAGCATCTGCAGTGGGGCAGGTGCTCCCCAAAGCCGTCAACCCCTCCTCCCGGGAGTGCAGGACCCTCCCTCTAACTGAAGGCAAGGCTGCTTCCTGCCGTTTGCTCGGGGAGTTAAGGCTGATCAAGCGAAATAAAGACCACCAGAGGTATGAATAACCGTTTTACTAAGTTTATAGGTCAATCCAAAATGCTACACGCAACTATTCTACCACAAGGTCCACACGTTTTTGTTTTTGCTTTATTATCAATGGAGTTACAGTAATATTGTAAGGTTGGCTTTGTTTTTTGTCCTCGTTATTATTAAACAAGAAAGATACTCATGTATACAGTTTTAAAGGGAGAGAAATCGTGAGCGCTCAGTGGGGGAGATGGCTTCACCTCTTGATCTCAGTTTGCGTCAAGCTAGCGTTAGGTCTGGTCAAAGAGGAGGAGGAAAAAGAAAAGAGCTCGGAAATAAAAATTATCTTTATATACAAACAGTGCCTCGGAGGGGGTTACCGGCCTACACTCACACACTGCACACGGTTAAGTTCATCTGCGGATTTAAAAACAAAACAACCCAGCTACTCTTCAGCATAGGATATAAATCGGTATAAATAAAAAGGTGCCAACGAAAGAAGAAGAAAAAAAAAAAGGAAAACAAATTCATTCTTCAGCTTTTCTGGTGCGAGGTTTGGATGCTCCAACCCTTGGCAGCTTTTTTAAGACTTGTTCAATTCAAACTCCTCAGAATTCCTCAGCCAAGGATTAATTCTGGGAGTTGCAAGTCCACAAGTTTTTGAAACAACAGTTGCCGAGGATGGAGAGCCCTGCTCTATGCCCCTCGAAACCTTAAAAGTAGCGTTATCACCTACTTGTGTGTGTAGTTACAAAAATTGGGGAGTGTTTGATGGGGAAGGGGGAACGTGAAGCCCGGCCCTCAAACGAGTCAGGGCAGAAGGTGAGTTTAGCAGCAGCAGCAGCAACAGTGGTCAAAAAGGAAGCTTGTTTCCCAGGCCGTTTGTATCTCGCTCCCAACCTGCTTTCTTGCAGGCAGGAAAAAAACTCACCCCCCAAAAAACGGAGATAAAAGCAAAATGGAGGTCAATGATTCTCGTGTCAAGAGCCGAGCAACCATTTTGGAGTGGATGCACCGGGGGCCAAACCAAATCCGAAACGGCAAAGGAGAGGCGGCTTTCCACCTTCCCCGACTTTCTCGGGAGCGAAGTGGAGCCCAGAGGAAGCTCGAGGAAGGCGGGGTGGCTGGGTTGTAAGCTCACACAACACGAGCCGCGCACCTGCGTTATGTATAAAACGGACCCTGATGAAACGGAGTCGTCGAATCTCAACTTTCGTTCAGGAACAGGAGGTCTTCCCCGGGGGGAAGACGGGGGGGAAGCGGTTGCCTTAGGACACCCCAAATCCCGCTGAGTTGCATAGAAGTTATTTCATGATGGAGAACTAAGCGCTGGACAGATGAGAAAGAGACCAGGTGGGGGGGCAGGACGGGACACGCACACACACACACACACAAACATTGGGGAGCGGGGCGTGTGAGTCCCGTTTCTGAAAAGTTAAACCATGCAAGCCCCCCTACTTGGAAGGAGTGGGGAAACCTTTCGCTTCCTCTCTCTCGCGCGCATGCGCACGCTCTTGGGCGAGAAGAGTTGCGACTTTTTTTGTTAAAAGAACGCTGGAGGGTTGGCGGTTTTGGTTTCCCATTTCTTCCTCTCAAATGGAACCTTTTAAAAAAGTTATAACTGTAAAAATAAAACCCAAGGGGGGGGAGGGAAGCACTCGCTTGTAAACTCGGTTATGTTAGAAGAAGGCGGTCAATTCTTCGTACCTAGCGCCTCCAAACGGACTGCGGAAGGGAGCAGAGCATCGTTTTCCTCTGGAAAAAGAAAGGGGGGGAAAAAGCATCGGTCTACAGCTACAACACCCCCCTCCCCCCGGTTAAATAATCAGTAGTATGAAGATCCCTCATCTCGTTATAAGCCGCGTGTCTGGCTTGGGTGTCCGGCCTGTGGGGGGGGGGGGAAACCCGCCGCCGTGCGGTGTGTTTCGGGAGTCCTATGTACATCTGGTCCTCTCTTGCCCGCGGTCGGTCGGCCAAGACAAGCTCTGGAAGGCAGAAGGTATATCGGGAGGCCCCCCGGGAGCCCTCCGAGGTTGCTACCCAGCTTCTTCAGCACGTCTCTTTCCCTTGGACGCCGGTCACTGTCTTTATAGAGCTCAGCGTTCGGTTGAACCAGGTTTTGCGCGAGGCCTGCACCTCGTTCAGCGCCTGTCCCAGGTCGTGTTCCAGGTCCTGCAAGGGGAACAAGGCGGGATGAGCATGGGGGAAAGGAGGCGTGTCAACTAAAAAAAAACACCCCTTTGGTCTTTTTAGTTGTCAGCAGAAAGGGAGGTGGGGAAAGCAGTGCATTCCTTAAATGCTTCAGATAATCGCCTGGGCAGCCGAAGCTGTTGGCACGCAAGATTATTACTGGAGAGCATGATCGATGACTCTTGGCTATGGATGTGTCTCATTGGATAATATACATCCAGGGGGTGGGGGAGGAAGACTAGGGTCAAGGGTGAAATGAATAATGTGTCAGAGTTGGGTGCAACCAGGAAACTCCCAACATGTCAACTCCTAATAAATCCATATTTTTTACTGTGAGAGATGCAGCTAGAGACGTGTGATTTGAAAAGGGGTGGATGCCGGAGTCCTGACAGCGCGTGTGAGAACGCCTGACCTGGCCTGGGTCAGGAAACGGATCCACCAAGGTCAATCTGAACAGCCACTTCCTCAGTTAGGAGAGCAGAGCTGCAGGCTTCCAAATCACCAGTTCAGTCAGGGAATTTATTTACTGTAGTTTTCGCTCCACTAAGATGCACATTTCCCCACCTCCTTCCGCCCAAAAAGTGGGTGGAAAGGTCTCTGCGTCTTATGGAGCGAACAATACAGGCTGCGGCAGTGGGGTCCTTTTATAGTGCTGTCTTATAATCTTATAATCTTCTGTCTTTGCCATTGTTGTGGTTCGCCGGCAGCCGGTGCAGACGGCAGTGGTATCGGACAGTGAGGACGAAAGAGAACCAGTCCGGGAGTCCGGGGAGGACTTGGATGAGGGTCCTGCGTCCGATGTTGAGATGGGGCCAGGAGCATCTGGGAGTGGGGTGCTGCCTTCGGAGCCTCTGGATTCTGGCAGCAGGGAGGCAGAGGAACGAGGGGAGCCTGTTCCCAATGCACATATGCACAGAGCTGCCAGAAGGTGAGAGCAGCCGAGACAAAAGGGGCGACTCGGGAGTAAGGCTGGGAGGTGATTGCCCCTCCCATAAGGGATAAAAGTCAGACCTCAATGATGGGAGAGCTTTGCAGGAAGCAAAGCAGTTCAGTAATTCTCTGAGTCCGTCTTGAAGCTCTGTACTCTGGTCGGGTTTTTTTCTGGGTTTTTGGGTTCATTTATGTTAAGCCTTAATTGGATGTCTGTTTGTTGGCAAGCATTCTCCAGCACCGAAAACCCGTGCTCTTACCTGGAGGAACTGTGTATAATTAGTTTTGGCTGGGAATGCAAGTAATTCCCAGTGTTGTATTAAAATAGGTTTTACTTTTAAAATCAGTTGGTGTTTTATTAAGTTTGACAAAACCTGGGTCAGAACAGCCATTGGCCGTTTTCCTTCTCTAAAGCTAGGTGTGTCTTATGGTCAGGTGTGTCTTAGTTGTGCGAAAAATACGGTGGGTAATTTTTATGCCACCCATATTATGGGTGACTTAAATCACCTCAAAACTTTAGGAGGTCTTCCAGGAATTTGAAAGAGGCCCGTAAGAGTAAAGGTTTTGGAGTGTAAAAGTGGCATCCGAGGGAATTTGCTAAGCCAGACCGAGGATGGTCTCCATTGGCCTGCGTCCACCTGCGGGCACCCAGGAAGTCCACCAACCCCCGCCCCAATGGCAGAGGGGAAAAAGACTTCAAACCTAGGCGTCCCATCCCGAGAAACGCCAAGGCTTCAATTCTCAAAGCCCCAACTAAGGAATTCTGTCGGAGAAGAGAGCTGTTGTGGTTCGCCGGCGGCAGCTGTGGACGGCTGAGGTCTCGGAGAATGAGGACTCAGATGAGGGGCCTGCGTGTGATGCAGGGATGGGGCCAGGACCATCAGGGAGTGGAGTGCTGCCTTTGGAGATTGTGGAGGCTGGCAGCAATGAGGAAGAGTCCCCCGAGGAGCCTGTGTCCAGTGTATGTGCACGCAGGGCTGCTCGAAGGAAAGAGTCGCTGCAGCAGCATGGGTGACTCAGGAGTAAGGCTGGAAGGCGATGGCCCCTCCCATAAGGGATAAAAGCCAGCCCTCGGGGATGTGTTCTTTGCAGGAAGCAAAGAAGTTCTTTAGACTCAGGAGTTCTCATTGAAGCCCTGCTTATTCCGGCTTGTTTTTGAAACTTCTGTTGGTGGATATTTAAATCAGTAATTAGTCTTCTGTTCTTGGCAGCCTTTTGCAACCTTGAAAGGGCTTGCTTTTGATATCAGACAATTAGGTTTACAATTAGGTCTCTTGGCTGGGAATGCACAGAATTCCCAGCGCCGCATTAAAAAAGGTTTCCTTTTATACACAATTTGGGTCTAAAACAAGGCTTGGGTCAGAACAAGAGCCGTGACCCTTGACTACCTACAATTCCCACGAGGGGCAAGAAGCTCCGGCCAAGCGTAGCACCAGCTGCTCTCCTCACCTGGATTTTGCATTCGGCTTCCACCAGTTGCAACTTGGTCTGAGCCAGTTCCAGCTCCATTTCTCGTAACTGGTTCTTCAGCACCTCCTTCTCCTCGTCGGTGTCTTCGTCGGAGCCCTCCCGGGCGATGCTGGCCACCTTCAACCGCCCTTCTTTGTTGAAAAACTCCCGGCAGTGTTCGCAGTCGTCGACTTTATGCTACAGACAAGAAGGGCGGACGGTGAGGGTCTGACCTCCTCTCAGACAAGGCGGGCTGCTTTTGGGACAAGCCTGGGTGGCCGGCAACAGCTGAAAGGGCTTCAAACTTGCTTGGCACCACCCCCATCACACACACACACACACACACAAACTGCAAGGCTTGAAGGTAGCAAGTTGAATATTTGAGGTCTGTCTCTCTGCAACCTGAAATCCCCCACTTTCCTTTAGCGAAGCAGTATTGTGGCCCGCCAGCTGCCAGTAGGAGCTGGCGGCAGAATCAGACAATGAGGAGGTTATGGGAGGAACGTGGGCCAGTTCTGGAGTCTGGGGAAGGCTCTGATGGATGCTCTGCATCGGACCGCAGAGAAAGAGCCAGGGCAGTCCGACATTTCCCAGCCACCAGAAGAAGCAGCTGCCTTCAGAGGGGCTGAGATAAGTGGGGAGGAAGAACAGCCGGGGCCTGTTCCAGACACGCGTATGTGCAGAGCTGTCAGAGGACAAGGGGTCGACTCGGGAAGTAAAGCACACCTGGACGCTGAATGGCCCCTTCCTAGCTGGGGAATAAATAAAAAGGAAAAGGGGAGTGGTGATTGTAAGAGACAACAGTTGGAAGATTCGACTGCTTGCCAGAATTTAATTTACAGCTTTGCAGCTGGAAGCTCTGGGCCTGACAATTATCCCAAGGAACTGATAAGGTCTGTACTGCAGTTCACCCTTGGAAGGATTATTGCCTGGACTTGTCGGTGTGTGAATGCCATGAATTCATAGCAGCTTAATAAAAGGTTGTTTTTCGGGAGCAGGAGTCTGTTTATTGGTTCTCCTAAGGCTGGATCACAACAAGCAGGGACCAAGGAGTTTTTTCCAGACAAACGGGATGTTGAAAAGAGTTCGGGAGATGTTCTGGAATCTGCCCCGAGGCAGGGAATTGGGAAGACTGCCCTCCAGGTGATGCTAAGCTCAGCCCGTCCCACTCTGCCAATGGTCGCCATGGTCTTCAGTGGCTCTACTTACCCGGATTTTCTCAATTTCAGCTTTATTGGCTATCTGCTGCTTCTCCAGCCTCTCGCTCAGTTGGGAGCAGATCTGCAAGGCAAACTGGAGTGGTCAGCAAGAGCCTCACAGGCCCAAGAAGGGCCTTTCATCCCTCGCCCAGATCCCCATGCTGGCCACTTGCCCTTGTTGGACTTTAACACCAAAATCTCTCTTGGCTTCTATGCTCTCGTGGCCCGAGGGCCTGCCCCACGTCGAGCGACTGCACCCTGCGGTTCCTTCCCTTGGCCCAAACCTTCTGACTCTCTCTTGCTTTACCCCATAATCTGAGAAAACTTGGTTTCTCTTCCTAACAGAGGGTGGAGCTTGTTATTTACTTACTTACTTACTTACTTACTTACTTACTTACTTAACTTAATTTATTTTGTTCAATGATGCTCCATCCTAGAGGCTTTTAAGAAGATATTGGGCAGCCATTTTGCCCGGAATGGGATGGGATCTCTTGCCTAAGCAGTTGTGTTTTTTTTAGATTGGATTAGATGAGATTAACAGAGTTGGAAGGGACCTTGTAGGTCATCTAGTCCAACCCCCCGCCCAAGCAAGAGACCCTACACCATTTCTGACAGATGGCCGTCCAGTCTCTTCTTGGAAGCTTCCAGGGATGAAACTCCCACAACTTCCGAAGGCAACTTCTGTTCCATGGGTTGTTTGCTCTCATTGTCAGAAAATTCCTCCTTATTTCCAGGTTGAATCTCTCCTCGATTAGTTTCCATCCATTATTCCTTCTCTGGCCTTGGGGTGCCTTGGAGAATAGCTTGACCCCTTCCTCCTCCTCTCTGGGGCAGCCCCTCAAATATTGGAAGAGGCTATCCTATCTCCCCTGGTCCTTCTCTTCTGGATGCAGTACTCTAGGTGTGATCTTACTAAGGCTTTCTAGAGTGGTATTAATACCTCCCTTGATCATGTCTCCCCTGGTCCTTCTCTTCCCTAGACCAGCCAGGCCCAGTTCCTGCAACCATTCTTCATGTTTTAGCCTCCAGTCCCCTCATCATCTTGGTTGCTCTTCTCTGCCCGCTTTCTAGAGTCTCAACCTCTTTTTTATAGTGTGGTGACCAAAACTGGATGAAGTCCTCTAGGTGTGGTCTTACTAAGCCTTTGTAGAGTGGTATTAGTCCCTCCTGTGATCTTGATTGTATCCCTCTGTTAATGCAATTTAGGATTGCATTGGCTTCTTTGGCTGCTGCCAACACACCGCTGAACTAGAAGACCTCCAAGGTCACTTCCAGTTTTGTTATTTGGAGGGCAACCCTCTTCTGCTTCCCTTTTCGAGATGAAATAATGACTCCCCGATGTAGCCACCCTTTGGTTTTTGTGTGGAAAGAAGGCAAGGCATGGAGTTGTTCTGTCCCAAGGGAGCCTGATCCCAGAGTTACTTTGGAGCAGCTGCCTCCTGCCTACCTGCTTGTAGTCTCCAATGATCGAGCTGTTTTTCTTAATCTCGGACTCGGCCTTGTCCAGTTCCCTCCGACACATCTCCTTCAGCTTCAAGAGAAGACAGAAAAGCTGGTCTGTTCATTCATCCCTCCACCAGGGTCTCTGAGCTTTCTTTCCTCTCTCTGACCTTTCTTTCCTCCCTCTTTTTTTTTGGGGGGGGGGACAGAAGTCACAAGAGGAGGCAGCAGAGAGAGGCCGCTCCTGTCAACCTGGAGAGCTTGGGGTAAGAAGATAACCTTCTGGGACACTGCTGGTCTCTCTCTAATGGGGATGGGGGAATGTGGTTGTGGGGATGAACCAGACCAGACCGGAGATGATGGTGAAGAACATTAAAAACAATGAACATGTTACAATCCTCCTAGCCCGCATAGTTGTCTTACATGGCTAAGTCACATATAACAAATAGTACTTATTTACATTCTATATATGCAATCATTTCTTATTGTCTTGATCCTTTCTCTTGTCTAACCAACCCTAAAACTTGCCCCATATTTTGTAATAATCCGATTCATCCTTATTTTTTTTAATTCTTTTGTCCATTTGTCCATTGCTGCGCGCATCCAGATTTTCCTAATGATTTCTATTTCACTTGGAGTTTCTTTTACATTTCCACTGTTGTGCAGAAGCCAATCTCTTTTTTGTCTAATAAAATTTAAAAATAATAATAATAATAAAAAAAAAGAGATGACGGTGAAGGAAAAAAAACCAAGACAACCGATTATTCTTGGTGCTTCTTTCCTCAGCTGGGGTGGTTATTGGATGTTGGACCCACAGGTGCTTTTCTTTCCAGAGGCAACTGGACTTTCTTGGTTTTCTTTGAAGAGGTTTCGCTTCTCATCCAAGAAGCTTCTTCAGCTCTGACTGGATGGTGGGAATGGAAGGATTGATACTCCTTGCAAACAGCTGGTCATTTGCATCCTTTTAGAGGGTCACTGAGGCCACTTCCAACAGTTCCAAGAAGGCTCCACACATCCATTTTCACCACTCAGGTGACCCTGAGGACACAGATAAACCTCCAAGTGGCCTCAATGACACTCTAAAAAGGATGCAAAGGACCAGCTGTCTGCAAGGAGGTTGAATCCTTCCATTCCCACCACCATCCAGTCAGAGCTGAAGAAGCTTCTTGGGTGAGAAGTGAAACTTCTTCAAAGAAAAAACCAAGTCCAGTTGCCTCTTGGAAAAAAGCACCTTTGGGACAACCATGAGCTGGAGGACGGAGAATCTCCACAGACACCAGATGCTGAACTGCAGGAAGGATCGGCTAAAACCCAGAACTGACCATATTCCCTCCTGCCTCTTGCCTGCCCGGCTGTCCTCCCCCTAACCCGACCCTGTCCCAACCTGAGCCGATTCCTCCTCCAGCCTTCTCTTTTCATCCTCGGCGTCTATCAGCTTCTGCTTGGTCATCAGGAGCTCCTTGTTCAGCGCATCGGCTTTCTCTTCCGCCTGGAAAGGGAAACATCGACGGCCAACGTGACCAGGGCGAGAGTGAACCGTTGGAAGCGAAGGGAAACTTCGGCTCGGCTCTTATGCAGACGGTTCAACCCAAAGGCGAGCGAGAGAGGAGACCAGGGACTTTTTTAAGAGTCAAGCTTGGGTTTGGGGTCCCTGCGGTCCAAGGCAAGATTTTAAGATAGCAGAGAGCAGCGATAGGAGGGGTGCAGTGGCCTAGAGGTGGAGCTCTCGCCCCATAATCAGGAGGCTGTGAGTTCAATTCTAGGTAGAGGCAAATATTTCTCTCTCTGGGCACAATGAGAATTTCTCTGCCGAATATGACTGCGCACTGGCGACAGGAAAGGCATCCGGCCAGTGTTTACTCAATCAACTCAATCCATTTGCCTCGGCTTCGCCCAGTAAAGGGATTACGGGGTCATTAAACGACAAAGAAGAGAGTGGGGATAGCAGCAGAGTCAATCCTTGGAGAGGAAAAGGAGACACCTGTCTCAAAGTGGCCAAGGTATCTCTTAGCCCACCATTCTGGCGGAATGGCAAGACACCTCCTGTCTTCTTGAAGGTTTTCTGCCCCAAGAAACAAGCTACAACCATGTCACAATGACCTGGAATCTGAAAGCTCTGGCGTTCTGTGGGCGTTATGAGGAGGACAAGACACTAAACTTAATCGTAGCCAAGAGCAGAGTTGACTGTTGGGGTATCGTATGTCAGAATTAGTAAAGCAGGGGGATTTGTTCTGCTTGTTCAGGCCAGGAGTGCTTCTAACCCTTCCCAAGACTTCTGTGTTTGGGGAAATTTCGGCCTCTGTGGGAGGATTTATCCCTCTCCATTCTGGGTGTGCTGATGGCAAGTCCTGGCGCACCCCAAGGGCAGGGCTGGGCCAGCTGGGGAATTGAAATTGGCAGTCCCGCCAAGAGAGTGCAAGGATTTAGCAGGTGGCCCCGGAAGAACTGAGCCAATTCCAAGGATTCTCCTGCAAAAATGGGTGGGGAGTGAAAATGGATTTTCAACCATGGAGGCTTCCCCTTGGAAGTTTTCCTTCCACACATATGTGGTGCAAGACTCAGAGGCAGCCTGAGACCTACCTTGGGTAAGGAAGAGGAGAAAAAGGAGGAGGAGGAAGAAGAAGAGAAGAAGTAGAAGTGGAGAATAGAACAGCAGAATAAAAGAAAAATAAATAACTGGATAAGCCAGAGGTGGGTATTCAGCCGATTCAGACCAGTTCTGGAGAACTGGTAGTGGACATTTTGAGTCCTTCGGAGAACCGGCCAATCCCACCTCTGACTGGCCCCGCCAACCCCATCTCTTCTCTGCCTCCCATTGAGTCCCAGATGATTGGCTGGGTCTTCTTGTGTTGCCCTGCACAGGAGAACGGAGCTGGAAAGCAGGTTAGTGGGGTGGGGAGGGAAGGGGGATTTTGCAGGAACCTTTCCCCTGCCATGCCCACCGAGCCACACCCACAGAACCGGTGGTTAAAAAAAAACCAACTGAATCCCACCTCTGGAATAAGCACATCAGCAAGAACAGGGCTCTCCAGCTGTGGCAACTTTGAGACTTGTGGACACATCTCCCAGAATTCCTTAGCCGGCTTTCAGGAGAGGAAGTCCACAAGTTGTCGAGGTTTGGAGAGCCCTGAGCTAGAAGATGCCCGGGAAAATTCCGCTTCTCTACCGAGCAAGTGGTGCTAAAACTGTTGGTTACCCAGGAGGGGGAGAAGAAAAGTCTTACGTTGTCCAAGTCCTTCCGCAGGGCGATCTTGCTGGTCACCAGCTCGTGGGCCAAGTCGTCGTTCTCCTGCTCCAGCCTCATGTTGGCTTCTTGCAAGCGTCGGTTTTCTCTCTGCAAGGATTTGCCAAAAGGAGCAGGCGTGAACCCCGAACCCAATGTCACCCACTGTCAGCCTTCAAGATCTCTTCTACTGCTCTGCATCTTTCGGCTGTCATTAGCAACAGGGGGGGTGGGGGGATTTGAAGGGAAGAAAGCTGGAGGTGTTACATTCTTGTGTTGTAATGAGGAGGAGAAGGGGGAGTATAGAATTCTTGTTTTTAAGTTTCTGTTTCCTTGCTCAACTGTCTTTCTACTGCGCAACTGCTAAATTTTATCCAAATATGTCAAGGTCAACGGACAGAAGCCTCATCACCACCTGCAGGTGCCCACATGGTCACGTTCAGAACCTTTAATTGGAGGAAGATCTTGGACTATGGGGGGTGGGATCAATCTCATCCCTTTGTATATGTGATCTGCACGCCTAATTTCTTAGATTCAGAATTCTACCTGTAGCTACCACTTTGAAATTCAGTAAAAGTTTCTTTACTCTAATTTATGGAGTTGAAGTATTTCTTTCTTGGATTTTGAATGGAGCTCGGACTGACACCCACATTCTTCTAGATACAGTAAAAATGAATTAAATTAAGATTCCCACCCAAGTTAAGACGTAACCAAGCCAGTAGTCCCGCCCAGTTTAGTTTAGTTGACTTTATTGTCATTGCACCTTGTACAATGAAATCAAACACCGTCTTCAGTGCCCATCATGACCATGAAAATAAACACAAACACACATCCTGTATACTCCACACGTTGAAGCGAAAACCCCCAAAACACCACACCAACACTGCACTCTACAACAGAATTCAACACAGCTCCTGCCCTGGGACAGAAGCTGATTTTCAGCCTATTTGTCCTTGTTTTTAATATTATCCTGTACCGTCTGCCAGATGGTAATAGTTCAAAAAAAAAAAGGGTGCCCAGGATGAGATGGATCTTTGAGGATGTTTTGAACTTTCTTAAGGCAGCGGGAGCTCTAAAGCTCTTCCAAAGAGGGGAGAGGGCAAGCCATGATCTTCTGTTGGTCTGTCCCTGCTTTTATGACAAAAGGAGATAAATTAAAATACTTAAAAGCAACTGAAAACAGCCCTGGCAACTCAAGGAGTGTGTGAAGGAAGACCAAAGGTGCGGAAATGGCTGTGGGGGGTTCAGGTGTTAGAGGCCCAATTCATGTTCGCACAGGAGGAGGAGAAAAAATAAAAGCAACGTCAGAAAAAATAAGAGGAGAAGTAATAACCAGGGAAGGGCCGAATGATTCATGGTCAGAATCTTGACCTTTTTATGTGTTGCCAAGAAACTGGTTTATTTCACGAGGGGGATTAAGTCTGGGAGTGGTGCGGTGTTCTAGAGGTGGAGCTCACAATCAGGAGGCTGTGAGTTCGATCCTAGGTAGAGGGTCCCAAGAGCCTCGGTGGCGCAGTGATCGGAGCGTAGTACTGCAGGCCCCTTCTGCTGCCTGCCGGCTGCCTGCCAATTTGGCAGTTCGAATCTCACTGGCTCAAGGTTGACTCAGCCTTCCGTCCTTCCGAGGTGGGTCAAATGAGGACCCAGATTGTTCGGGGGCAAGAGGCTGACTCTGTAAACTGCTTAGAGAGGGCTGTAAAGCACTGGGAAGTGGCATAGAAGTCTAAGGGCTATTGCTATTCCTTCCTTCCTTCCTTCATCCCTCCCTCCTTCGTTCCACCCTTTCATGTTTCCTTCCATCCATCCATATTTCTCCTTCCTTCCTT